ATTGGGTATTGAGCCATTTGCTGTTATTTTTGCTAAATTGGGCAGGTGCCAGAAGATTGGAAGTTGGCTAATGTTACTTCTTGTTTCAAGGGAGGTGATAAGAATTGTCCTAGTAATTCTAGATCTATTGGATCTTGCATCACTGGTTGAAATGTTTTTGAAAGTCTGATGAAAGCTGCTTTGCAAAGTCATTAACCCTGCTGACACGGGTCTTCCTATGGTCATGGGTTAAAGGCCATGTCATCTCATTTGTAGACTCGCATTCAAAACTTTATTGAACTATTATTTTGTGAAGGTATGTCAATAAGTCTGCTATCAAATTGTAGATTATAATTCAAATTTTAGTATCATACATTAGTTAATTTCTTAATTTAAAAATAAATATTAAAAGAGATATCCCAGATACCAATTTTTTTTGTGTCGTGGTATGTTGACTATAGTATTCCTTCGAATTAGATGTTTATGATGTTCAAATACAAAGTCTGTAGTTTCTTACGAAATAGATACTCAAATTACCAATATTGACAAGCTAGAATATAAAATAAGAACGTCCTATTTTTCTATTTTCTGAGATATTAATGTTTATTGAATCAGTCAAGGTGGCCCTGCCCAGTGAGGAATGTATAGCGAATTGAAACCTCGGAATGTCCCCAAGTGGTCTTTTGAGCCTCTGTGGAGTGTTTTCATGGGAAACATTTTTTTTCATGCTAGATTTCAAGTAGTAAGGTGAGACACTAGTGAGCTCAAAAATCATATTTTTTACACCCAAATACAGCTTAGTTACTTAGTAAGCTTGATAAATTACAGTGAAATTTTGTGGTATTGATATAGTAATTTATGATTTTTGGTTATTTCAAAATGCATATATAAAACCTAAACAAAATCTTGTTTTATATCCTCCATGTGTGAAATTTGTTAAAGCTTAGCAACTTACAGCAAGTAGCAAAAGAGTACAAAGTTCATAACTAGAAGAGATAATTGTTTTCTATACTTTCTTGTTTACTGTTCTATGTTTTAAGAAAAATAACTGAAATTTAAGAACTTATTTGTAAATAGTAATAAGGTATGTACATATAATGTATTATAAGCAAAATGTGACTATATTTTACAAAATACTAGTCCACTAAAACACAGCCAAGACAGGTCACTTTGTAAAGACTAAAGGTCAGATATATTATTGGATAGAGAAACACAAGTGCACATGTGTCGTGTCATTATAATTTCTGTATTGTTAGCCAGGCACGGCTGAAAGGGCAATATAAAAAAAATATGTAAATGTATAATGTTATGAGATTTAAGCTATTTAGTCTAAACATTTATATTTTCTTGCTATAATTTGTTGTCATTCTAGAATGAAAAAGGCATAATTTATATTTATTTCCTGATTTTTTATGGTGGTTACAAGATCGGTCAAGTCTACCAAACTTTTAAAGAGATTCATTAGTGAAAATAACAGATAAAATATAAAGTTTTTTCATAAAAAAAGTTTGATAAGTATCTGGAAGTTATAAAGATTTAGCATGTGAAATTTGAAAATTTTCTGATGCATAAAAGTAATTTTAAGCTTAAAATGAAAATTAATTTGCATGTTAGATAGGCGACATGCAAAAAGAAAAAAAGGCAGGAGAAAAATATTGCAATATTTTAAAAAATTCTGAATTTTCCCATGTGTGAGAAATGTGACATATTTTCTCTAGGCATTCTTCTCTATTTTATTCACCACCTCTTCAATAAGTACAAAATTTAATGTAAATTACACTATTAAATCATCATTGCTCTGACAAACCATAATTTGTATAGACTTAAATTTTGTTTGCTTACAGAGCCAGCAAATAGAAAATCAGACCCCTCTTGCCACACCCACCTGTCACATTATATATAACCAATAGAAAGCCAAGGTTTTCATCTATCAAATGATGTATTATATTACATTGTTTTTTGAATGGATAATTGTCAGTTTCACTGTTAGTAGAAGCTTTTTTCCCACGGGAAGGATAATGGCTAGCTTTTGTCGCATAGTTAGAAAGCCAGATAAATTGTGATAGTTAGAGTAAATTGTATGCTTTTTGGATGTTATAATTCTATGTTCTTAGGTGCATTATTTAATTAAATAAAACTTATTGAGTACAGTACTACCATTAGTATAAAAAAAAGTAGGGTTAAGTGTCATTGATGGCTGACAGCAAAAATAAAGACTTGGGTAAGTACTTTATTTTTTGTTTTTCATGTTTATTCTTTATTTATTATTATAAAAGTAACTAAAATGTAAAAATAGGGATTTCTTTACATTACTTGAGGTTAGATTAGGTAAAATAATAATATTACAAAAATGTTTCACAAGCTACACGCAAGCAGCTCATGGGTAACGTAGTGTAACATGAGCTCCATGTTCCCCAAGTGATTAACAAGTTATAATTGCACAAATAGTAGTTAGACATGGTTCAAAGGGCAATAAACAATAAAACTTAATTATATATAGATGTTTACAGTTACGAGTTTATAGCTACTTAGGATAAATGAATATAGTTTCATGTTACAACTTAGTCATTCTGGAAAAAAAAGGATAATTTAGATTTTTTTT